TATCAAGCATTCACGCATTAAACATCATTAGCTAGCTTGACAGATGTGGATCACTCAAATCATAAAGTAGGTGAAGGTTATGATGATGGCGATGGACCAGTGCAGGAGGTTATATCTCAGGCTATGTTTGTTAGTTGCAGGTGGATACTGACTATTGATTGGGTGATTTCACGTTTTATTGTGCAGGTTAACAGTTTATTGTACAGGCAGTTAATCTCCGCTCTAAACTAATGTAGGCTACTGCTACATTGTTGCACAACACACAAGCTCGCACACCGCGCACATAGAAACATTCAGGAGTGCAGAAAATGATTGCCAATGCTGTCGGGTGATTTATTTATCAGCTTAAAAACGGAAAAGTTACAGCATATTCTCTCTATTTCTAAAGTAACTACAACTCTCAGCCTCGCCATAGTAGAGACGCTGCACAGACAAGTGAGTTTAACAGTCATTTAATATTAAACTATTATTCTAGTAGGCTATTGTGTATTTATTTTTCATTTAATATAAGTTCTGAACAGAACTTTGTGATAAAACATACTGCAATAGCATATTCTCTCTATTTCTAAAGTAACTACAACTCTCAGCCTCGCCATAGTAGAGAGACGCTGCACAGACAAGTGAGTTTAACAGTCATTTAATATTAAACTATTATTCTAGTAGGCTATTGTGTATTTATTTTTCATTTAATATAAGTTCTGAACAGAACTTTGTGATAAAACATACTGCAAATTTCGTCATGGAGCGACGTTTCTGATCAGTGGAGCAAGGAGCGGGAAACGCTGAACCCGAAGCGAAGTGATTATTGAATGCTGGAGTGCGGAGGGGAAACTAGTGTCTCACTTGGAGCTCAGTGAGAGTTACACTGCAACCCTAAATCAACCATAGCAGGGGACGCAGCGCCTATAGCAACATACAAACCATGAAAATGCTTTTAATAGTGTGGGTGTAATTAATTAATCAAAGCTATTGCTCAATGAAAAGATTAAAAATCATTACATGGTGCTTGACTCAACAAGTATTATTCTGCTTAGTGCCTGCTGTATATTTATTTAAAGAATCTTATTTTATACTATTTTGTTTATTGCTCTAGACTGATTTCTGTTTGCAAGCACCTGTTTATCGCTTACGTGAAAAAAAAAAGTTCTGACAAATGTAACTTACTGAAACAATCTATACTGAAAATGTATATACTTATGTGTAAATAGTAGCCTATGTGTACTCCTCCACCTTTTTGTTTCAACTACTTTAGGATTGGGTGTGTTTTTGAAGGTCAAATTTGACAACCAAAAAAAAAAAAAACATTTTCTTGATCTTTTGCTACTGCAGCAGTAAAAATATTAATATAAAAATATAATAAGCAGTCATATATATGTTACTTTAGGCCAGCGGTTCCCAAACTGGGGTGCGCGCACCCCTAGGGGTGCACAGACCGACCAGCAGGGGTGCGCGAGAGAATGCTTTTGATGATCTGTGTGCATTTTTTGAAGGGGCAAGTGAAGGAGAATTTTACTTGCCCGACCGGACAACTAATCTAATCTAATTAAAACATCGAATTAGGGAAGCACCAAAATTTCGGCGAGAATGATTCTGATTTTATTACACTGGGTGTAACGGTATACAGTGAATACTTGTATTTATACTTGTATTACAGTAAAAAATGTGGTGTACGGTGGTGGGGGTGCTTGACATGTGTCAAACACTAGAAAGGGGTGCACGCTGCAAAAAGTTTGGGAACCACTGCTTTAGGTTATTAGGTACCATTATATTGACATGGCTGAATATACTGCAAAAAAGGATAACAAAAAATCAATACATCATCAGATCTTATTAATATAGACTGCCTGACGTTTATTAAAATTGTAGTAGTACAAAAATAAGCTGATATTGGAATTTTAGTTTATGGGATATCATTTAAAAACTAATTTTAAAGTAGGTGTTTGAAAACCAAGAAAAGGGGGGAAAATATATATAGTGGGACTATTGACTCCAAACCTTAGGCCTATATTGAGGCCTATATTGACAGCTAGTCCCAGCCTCCATGATATAGAGTACATAAACTGACTTTCTCCAATAGGCAAAAATAATGAGCAATTAAATTCCACTAGATAATAATAAATGAAATCTCAATCCTGAGTCATTTCAAGAGTGTATTTAGGATGCAGAAGAAAGCAAAGGAAAACAGGGTGGAAAAGAGAAGA